TGTGTATATATATATAAATACAGTTAGTGCCAGCTGAAAAAAGAAACTAATGTCAGTAGTATAAAACAAAAACCCAATTGACAATATAATACTGCTACTGGTCAAAGCAAATAATCCAGTTATTTTCAAGCCAAACGCGGAAAATGATATCTAACGTAATCTACATGCAATGATCTTGTAGAGTCACATACTGTGTTTACTGTGGTAAAACTGTAGTGAAGAGCTCAGGTTTGTCAGTTACCTGCTGCTTCAGTGCGTCTCTCTCAGACTCGCTGCGGACACGCCACACGCAGGACCAAACTGTAAACCGTCCAAATAAAGCGCTACTCTGAACTATTATCATACACATAAATGACTAATTAAATAAACAGAAAATTTGTGAGGTTGGAAACATTTCTGAGCTTTGCCTCTCAATCAGTGTGGAGGAGTGTCCATGCGGCCAGTCGAAAACGCATACGGCAGTAAAACCTCACCTGATTGGCTGAAGAGCGACCCTAGTGTGTTACAGCGTGCTCTGATTGGTCCATTGACTAGCGAACGTACTACGGAAACGCTCGTGAGACAAGTGTCATATACACGAAGGGGTTTGAAACGATTTCATTGAGAAAAACACTCAAAGTAGTGATTTAAAAGTTATTATCTTGTCAAGTTTGGCCCAATGAACGGTGCGTTTGGAGAGTATTTACCTTTTTAAATGTCAGTACACAATTAACCATGGAAACGTGTTTCCGCCACGGGATAAAAAATAAATGATAACTAATTGCGACTTAAAAAAATAAAAAAATAAATAAAATGTGTGTATATATATATATATATATATAAACTCACAATTCTGACGAGAATACGCCGGAATTGTGAGATATAAATTCTAAATTGCGAGGAATAAAGTCCGTATTGTAAGATAAAAAGTCGCAATAACTTTTATAACTATCCCGTGGCGGAAAACTGGCTTTAAAAGACTAATACATCTAACCTTATAAGGCTACAGTATACACTCTTTTGATATTAAATGAATAAACGGTATAGATACGCAACAAAACACCGTTATAGGCTATATATAAACATGAAGTACACACAATGTGACATACACATTTTGTTCAATACGAAACAATTAATTGAGACAGACCTAACTTACCCCAGATAACACACGTACGTCTGCAAGTGTCTGTTACAGATCGCTTCATCTAAACATCTTAAAGACATCTTCTAAACGTCTATTTGACATCTGATAGGAAACGTCCTATAGACGTATCGCAGACGAGCAAACACTAAAAAATCGAATTTAATTAAATGCAGACCTTCATATAGAGTCATATATGTGCAATCTGGGACATACCAGAGAAATTCACTAAAATATAATGTCCTCTACAGAGGACAAAAGTCTATGCCTGGGTCCCAGGAGGATATGCATCTATAAATTCCTCATACAATAAACTAGATGCCCCATACATTATAAATAAGTATACAAAAGTACGCATTGCAACAGTTACAATTTACTCGTTTGATATGAGACACACCGTCTTTTTTTTCTTTTTCTTCTTCTTCCTTTATTAGGATTAGCAACAAGTATACAAAAATATACAACCCTAGTAACCACAAAATCACAAAACAAAATGAAATAAACAACAACAACAACCATACAGGGCCAGGGGTAATATAAATTACATTATATAAAGTAAAGGTGCCTCAAAAGGCACTTTTTAACAACCAGGCAAAAGGTCACAGAGAACTGTACATTATAGGAAAGAACCAATATTATAAGATGCACACAATGTTATCGATTTTAAGGCTTTAACATTGCTGGAGGTAGATATTGTTTCCCAGTAATACTTCAGATCTTTACAAAATATAAGAAATAGGGGCTTTACAGACAAAAATGTGCACTTATGTATAACAATTTTTACTATGAGACACACCGGTTTTTTTTTATTTATTTATTTTTATTATGCAATAGAAGAACAACAAATACAAAGACAAGTAAGAACAAAAGACAATAAGGGTTACAAACAATACTCCAAAGCATACTATGTTAGCTTATAAGATTTACACCATGAAAGAGTCTTACATGCAATAGAATTATTAGAGTTTCTTAAAGAGTTTACATATACATCAAAATCTTTCCTGAAAATAAAAAAGTAGGGAGTTTTCTTTGAAAATGTACACTTATGAATGTAACATTTAGCAAGATATAGCAATAGATTGATAATACATTTTCACTGAGAAAGATCTAAATTCAAGGAGTAACCAAAAAACACAATTTTTGGGGTTATACAAAAGTTTGGATATAAATATTTTTTAATAAAATTGGAAAAGTCAACCCAGAACACTTTAGAATAAGCACAGTCCCATAAGAAATGATATGAGACACACCGTCTGTTTATGGAAATGGAAGTTTGTGACGTCAGAGGCAGCTCGCGCTCTGATTGGCGGAGGCCTGTGGAGTGTTTACTCCTCGGAGCAGGAGCTGCACTACTAGCTCGAGCCACCGCTGGAGGAGGAAGTCCGTGGTCGAAAATAAGAGTTTTATTTGCCCGTTTTCACTACCGCGTCGATAAAAGCACTTTCAACAGCTGTGGAAACTCTTTGCATCCCCAAACCGAATCACTGGAGCAGGTCAGTGGCGTTTAAGAGGCGGTTTTCCGTGTTGTTTTGAACAAAGGAACGTGCCAAAGACACTGGCCTGTCGAGTTCAGCTGCACTTGAGCTGATTGAGCTCAAACAGCCGTTTGCTCTGACATCTGGTTGTTTTTCAGTCTGATTGCGTCTTCCCTTTCAGCTCATGCGAAGTCTTCACGATGAAAACCGAAGTCTCTACTGCTGCTAACTTTGTCACACGTCTGTTGAGAGGAACGGGGCTGCTTTCAGAAGAACAGCTGCAACAGTTCAGATTCTCTTTGGAAGAAGCTTTAGGGGGTAAGAGAGCATCGGGCAGGACCTTTCCATTGTTTAGAAGTCAATTCAACTACATCATGGTCCAAATGTTGTAGTTTGCAATGAAAACTAACATTGTTTTGAACAAAGCAGATGAAGACTCAGTCGGTTTATTGCAGCACCAAAGTCCATTTACTGAAACTTGCACCATTTTGTATCTTAAAGTACCAGAAACTTTGGCAAAGAATTGCAAGTAAGGCCATGTTCGATTGCTGCAAGGCCTAACTTTCTTCTTTCATTGTAGATCATTATCGGCACCACTGGTTCCCAAACGCACCCTGCCGAGGTTCTGGTTACAGGTGCATCCGGATCAACCACAAGATGGACCCTTTGATAGGCAAAGCGGCCTGTATGATCGGACTCACAAAAGAGCAACTCTTTTCACTGCTGCCAAGCGAACTCACCATGTGGGTCGACCCGTATGAAGTGTCCTACCGGATCGGGGAGGACGGGTCCATATGTGTCCTCTACGAGTCCACGCCTCCAGACACAAACCAGCCGGAAAGCTGCAAAGATGAACTGAGAATCGGACAGTCGAGTCCGTCCAAATCCTTCAGCATGATGACCTGCTCCAGCTGAAGAGTGATTCTGTGTAATTAGCCGCTTGTGAGCACAGTAAATCAGGCATCGCTCACATTCAATTTCTTTTTGAACCTTGTTTTTTTTAGACAGGTTTTTTTTTAATCAACAGTGAAATCTTCATCCTTTTGACCTCATGGTGAAAACCGATGTATTTTGATTAAATGTGTTTTAAGCTCCCTGTACAGTCATGTTGAATACGTTTTTTTTTTTTTTTTTTTTTTTTTTTAAAATTTTTTTTTAATTTTTTAATTTTTCCCAAATTTTTTTTTGGGTTTTTCTCTGGACCAGTTTAATAAA